GGTCGGGGATTGGTGTAGGGGATCGGGGAGATGGGCGGGAACAGGATCGCAGTCGTTGGGTGGGGTGGTTGCACGGGAGCGGGATCGGAGTCGCGACAACGATGACGATGAAGAAGAAGAAGAAGTAGAAGAAAAGAACGAAGAGAACGAAGAAGAAGAAGATAATTGGAAGAAGAAGAGTAAGAAAAGGAAAAAAAGAAGAAAATTGTCATCGATTACTTATGTGCGTGGAGGTAGCAACGACGATGACGAGGATGGCACAACACGGCGACGAGGACGACGGGCAATGCGATGGTGACGTGGCACGACGACGACGATCGCGACAATGACAATGATGACGTGGCACGCCGACGACGATCACGCCGACGACGATCGCGACGATGACAATGATGACGTGGCACGACGACGACGATCGTGATGATGATGATGATGACGTGGCATGACGGCGACGATCAATACGATGATGGTACTACGACGACGATCACGGCAATGATGCTGATGATGGCCAGGTGGTGACGACGAAGCAAGGTGGGTCGGGCGGGTTCGAACCGCTCCGATACCAATGTGACGAGCGCGAGGCTGAGGGAGAGCCGAGGGAGAGGAGAGAGAGAGGGAGAGAGGGAGAGCACATACACACACTCACTCACTCGACACGACAAAGGGTCAAATGCAGACACAGTGGCAAGGCCACAAAGTCGAAGTCTTGGATTTCGAATGTCGAAACAGCAAGTCACACTGAGTACGAATACAACAGCTGAAAGCTAGTACGAGACTGGTCCCCGTACTGTACGGGGAGCCGGTCTAAGTACCGGTGACTTGTACGGTACTAGGGGCATTTTTGCAAAAGCCGAGGGCAAAACTGAAAAATGCGGTATTTGAAAGTGGCGCTCGAATTGCATCATGCCGCCAGTTGTCCAAAATCCGACGGTACCAAAGGAGGGGTTTGAAAAAAAGGATGCCAGGCCGAAAACGGGATGCAGCAGAAACAACAAAAATATAGACCAGGGATCGAGCCCTGGCGGAGTCTGTAACAAGCAGTGTGTCCCCATTGCCTGCCCAGGCCAGGATACCCCACACTGGCTGGCTTCCTCCCTATATGGGAGATGCTGCTGCTGCTGGACTGTATGGGCCTGGCCGTGGAAGTTTCGAGTAGCTTCTGGTCAGGCCCGTGTCTGCGCCCATGCCCATGTCTAGAGTTGAGGGCTGGGCCCTTTTCTGTTGGTCACACCCAAGATTATCCAGGCTCCAAATGTTTGGTGTGTTTGCATTGGCCCACGGGGAAGAATAAAAGACAAATGCCCACTTCTGCTTCGGGCTCCCTCCTCGATCACCACCTCAAATAATCAATAGTCTGAACACACATATGAAGTTCCATTACAATATGCCACGTGGCACGTCGTAACCAGGTACGTGTCCACGATCGCCTCACAGTCATGATCTCCTCCCGAGTGACGATGAATCAGAACAGCAGTGCCAGTCACGTAGCCCAGCCACGTCAGCAACAGTACACGTGGCAGCGGCCACGTCAACAACGACGCGTGGTAGCTGCCACGTCAGCATGCCCTGAAGACAATAGCCAGCTAGTCACCATGTCGAGCCAGCAGCGCGTCGCCGTAGTCACCCAAGTGCCAGCGCAAAGCCAGCCTCCAGCCAGCATCGCAGCGTTGAGCCAGCGTCGTCGTCAACGCGTGAAGTCAGCATTGACGCAAGACCGAATCCCCTCAAAGTTAGGAAGTCAGCGCTTACGTAGCGTTGACGCGGGGTCTGGACCCCGGATGCTGCATCCCTCAACCGTCAAGATCTCAATGCAAATGACGGCCTAGATTGGCCTGAAATCGAATTCCTTCTGGCCTTGATGCTCTCTGGGTACTTGTGCACAACAAGTGAGTGCATCCGTCCAAGGGCCTCGGTGCAGTATCTTTGACCTGACAGTTGACTTAAACTTTTGACTTCCCACGGGCAGTGTGTGGTCACACTGCCTAGCGCAAGCTGAGTTTGGCCTGCGTCATCTGGGCTCTGTTTCGAGGGCCCAGACTGCTGCTGAACATGGCTTACTCCATTCCTGTCGACCCATTTTCGAGTTCCATCGCAGAAATAACTAAGACTTCAACCCACGTTCATATGCAGATACAATATCAGATGCAGTTTCAAGTAATTCTCGTTTACTAAACCATTTGTCCTCAGATGGTGCCTGAGATTTGAAACATACTTGCTTCTGGGGTCGTCCACGTCCACCTGTAGAAAAGTACCCATGCTCTTTGATCCGGTCTACTCCATATCTGCCTTCCATGGATGGCGAATCATAGATGGTTTATTTGGGAACTCATTTCCTTCTACATAGGGCAACAATTTGGATGCGTGAAAGATAGGGTACATTTTGAGGTGAGGGGGAATGTCAATACGATAAGACGGTCCCTCTGCATTCCCAATTACTTTGAGAACTTTTCAGGGTCCAAAATAGACAGACATAAGTTTTTGAGACACATCTTCTTCCAACGAAAACTCTTTGGACTCGACGCAGATTAGATCACGTTCCTTGAATGTTGATGGTCGGCGATGCTTGTTAGCTTGTTCAATCATTTGGTCCTGAGCTTTCTTCAAATTGTCCTTTACTTTCTTAACGTCTTCTTGAAACAATGTTGCATACTCCCGGGTCCCTGGAGGTAACCTAAGGAGCTGGTCATGTGTTAGCTCATCAATGGGACGCTTAGGTTTCCACCCCTTGTGCAGTGCATTAGGCGTAACCCCTGTAGCGGTATTTTGGGTAAGTTCTCGTCCCAATCAATCTGATCGGATCTCACATACATGCGCAAAAGTTGCTGGCACAAATGGTTCATTTGCTCACTTTGTCCATTCGTTTCAAGGTGTCGCCCTGGCGACATGGTCAGTCGTGTGCTGTATGCTTCCATAAGCTTTTGCCATGGCATACTTGTGAACCTGACATCACGATCAGATACAATGGATAGAGGAAAACCATACTCAGTTCATCACATTGAAACTTTTGGATGACAAGTTTTGTTCGCGCTTCTGCGGGTAAGGGAATAAATATGGCATATTTAGAGAAATGATCCACTAATGTTGAGGCTCATGAAGTCAATCGAGATAGACTCACGTGGTTCGCTAGGAATCGGTAATGGTTTTAGAAGACCAAGTGGATTTTCATGTGAAGGTTTGTTCCTCTGACACACCAAACATGTACGGACATAAGTTAGTACGGACATAAGTTAGAGAACGCTTTGATCCCTTCCACTCAAAGCGTTCTCTAACTTCTGCGTAAGTTTTCTTGAAACCAAAATGTCCTTCGAAGTCATGACATTCCCCAATCAGCAGACTTTTCATTTCTTCTTGATGAGGAATACACAATCTTTGTTCAGTTTGGTTTGACAAGAAAAGCAAACCATCGGTCACTTAATAGTTGGGAAGTAGAGATGAATCTTTCGCAAGGATATCCATGATAGGCTTTCCAATGGGATTAGTAACATATCCTTGATGAATTTTATCTTTCAGATCACTCCCAACGTAAGTGAGAGACAATAGTACCAAAGAAATTACAATGTCTGGACAATGCATCTGCAACCACGTTAGACTTACCTTTGATATTTTTCAATTCAAAATCAAAAGTATCAATGAATGCAGACCAACGTACTAGCTTATCAGAGAGTCCAGGCTGTGTCTTTATCCACTTCAAAGTAGAGTGGTCCGAGTACACAGTGAAGTGCCTCACTAACAAGTAGAGGGAAAAGACGGTTCAGCAATTTTCAGACAAGGGTAGTGAGTCAATGCATACCATCTTGAAGGAGGATTCACAGTCCTTGTCCCGTAACCAGATAGTTCCTTTCTTCAATAGTCTTCTCATTGGTGCGGCAATCTGTGAGACGTTCCTTACAAACTTCCTATAGTAGCTTGCCAAACCAAGGAAAGATGGTAACTCAGTTACAGACTTAAGTCATGGCCAATCTCTAATTGCCGATATTTTCTCTTCTTCCGGCCTTAGGCCCTCCACATTCACTATATGTCCAAGGGTTTAAGACTTCAGACTTAGCGAACTTAGGCTTCTTTGGGTTTTGCTTGAAGTTGCCCTCCCGCAACTTTCCTAATATGAGACGTAGGTGTTCTTCGTGATCTTCTAGTGTCTTACTGTACACTAGAATGTCGTCGAGATAGACAATGACGAACTGATCCAACCATTGACGAAACAATTCATTCATGGATCTTTGGAAGGTCGCTAGGGCGTTAGTCGGTCCGAAAGGCATAACCACGAACTCGTAGTGACCATACCTGGTTCGGAACGCAGTCTTGTGTTGATCTGCGGGATCCATCTCGATCTGGTGGTATCCAGCCTTTGGATCAATCTTCTTACTAAAGAACTTGCAACCTTGCAACTGGTCAAATAAGTCGTAAATGCGTGGAAGTGGTTCGGGGTTCTTAACAGTGACGACATTCAACCCTCTGTAGTCAATACAAAGACGCAACTCACCTTCCTTTTTGGGCACAAATAGGACAGGGGCACCATAAGGAGAGGAGCTAGGGCGAATCCATCCTTTTTATGTTGCACAAATAGGACAGGGGGCACCATAAGGAGAGGAGCTAGCGCGAATCCATCCTTTTTATGTTAAGTTCTGCAATTGCTTCTTATGTTCCTCAAGTTCCTTAGGAGACATTCGGTACATAGGGCCCTTGGGAATCTTACTGCCAGGAATAATTTCAATTGTGTGCTTGATAGCACATTCAGTTATTCCTGTTGGTTCAGTTTGCAGATCCTTCAGGAGTTTCTCAATCGAAGGAGGATAGGAAGTAGAACATTCACCTGCCTTCTTCACTAAGACCATCATTACTTCCTGTTCTAATTTCTTCTTTGAAACCATCGATCGAAATGCTGGATAACTCGTGCAACAGAAAGACAGACTAGAGTCAGAGCCAGACTTATGATACAAATTGATTGGTTTCAATCCAGAATGTGCATCCCTCAATGGTACTATCTTCTCTTTGACATTGATTTTTGGGTTGGCTTCCTCATGCCAATCCATACCCTAAATCAAATCAAAGGGTAAATTCTTTCCCACATGGAAGGATACTTCGTGTAGAATCTTCTTACCTTCCTTGGTTCGGCAGCAGTGCTGCCACGTCAGCATGCCCTGAAGACAATAGCCAGCCAGCCACCATGCCGAGCCAGTACCGCGTCGCCGTAGTCACCAGCGTCCAGCTAGCGTCGCAGCGTTGAGCCAGCGTCGTCGTCAACGCGTGAAGTCAGCATTGACACAAGACCGAATCCCCTCAAAGTCAGGAAGTCAGCTCTTATGTACTGTTGTTGCAGGGTCTGGACCCCGGATGCTGCATCCCTCAACCGTCAAGATCTCAATGCAAATGACGGCCCAGATTGGCCTGATACCGAATTCCCTCTGGCCTTGATGCTGTCTGGGTACCTGCACACAACAAGTGAGGCATCCGACCAAGGGCCTGGGCGCAGTACCTTTGACCTGACAGTTACTTGGACTTTTGACTTCCCACGGGCAGTGTGTGGTCACACTGCCTGGCGCAGGCCGAGTTTGGCCTGCGTTGTCTGGGCTCCGTTTCGAGGGCTTAGACTGCTGCAGAACACAGGTTACTGCACAATGTGGAAATGGCGTGCATGGCCGTTGGTGAATGTCAGGCGTGAGGGGAAAAAGCCAAGCTGACTACACACACATGGACTTGACACTTATTTTCTTTTCATTTCAGCTTTTTAATCGGTACGAGGTCAGTGGATGGAATAGAAAACCGAGAGGTGAGAGAAAAAGATTTGCTTAGGATGCCACCCTGACATCTCTGCTGTTACTCCTTTTTCAATTCTGATTTGACTTCCTTCCATGTGTTGATTCAAAAAAAATAAAAAAATATTCGATCTTTGTGCGGAAATTGTACCTGTATTGTTATGAAGCTTGTCTTTGTAGCGTGGGGTACCTCTGCTGTCGGGCACCCCACAAGTAAAAAATTCAAGAGATATTTAATATTTATGATTTATAACTTCCGAATCCTTTTCTAACTTCAAACACGGGCTGTGCGCTTTCCTGTAATTGTTCGGATGCTATTTCGGTTGCAGACAAGATCCATAGAGTTCAATCATCTAGTGGCATTGTATGCAGTTACAGGTGAGTGAGTTAGTGAGTTTGTTACTGGCATCGCGTTGACTTGCTTTGATGTTGAAGAAGTGTGAGCTCATTAAATGCTCGATTCCATGCGTGGGGAGTGGCGTATCGTAGACCTCTGCAGATTGAGGAGGAAGGTGTGGGCTACGTGGGAAGTAGGAGGAAGAGGATGAGATGGAGGACATTGAATTCCGAGACAATCAAGATGCTACAAAAGGGGGGGGGGGGGAAGAGAAAAAGAAGATGCTACTGGAGGGGCCAAAGTTGAGGATGGTTTTTGGGTATGTGGTGTGTGTAGGAGACTGACAATTTCTTTTAGTGGAACTTTTCTATGAAATGTGTCTTGAGAGTAAAGCAGATCTTGGGTGACCAGCAGTAGAAGGGAGAACAGGATCTGCCTGGAGCAATGATGATTAAAATAGGGGATGGAGGGCAGATGGAGCAATGATGCGTAAAATAGGGGAGGGAGAGGGCAGACGGGGAGAGAAAGGAAGGGTGCTCGTCAATGCATGGTTTTCTTTTGTGTGCAAGGTTAACATTTGTGCTTGCCCACTCGGCGTGGAGAAGGGGAACAAATTTTATTTTCTTGAGATGAACTTATAGCTTACCTCTTCCTCCTTGTGGTACTGCAGATGTGGCACTCGTGACCTCCTTGCGGGATGGGATGAATCTTGTCAGCTATGAATTTGTGGCTTGCCAGAATGCGAAAAAGGGAGTACTTATTTTAAGTGAGGTGCGTTCTCTCTCTCTATTCTCTGTGGGTACATCGTGAAAAATTATTGGTCGCAGCAGGGAATGCATGTGCACTTGAGTAGTGAAAAGTAGTAGCTCTGTCAATGCCATGTGTGTCCCCATATAGTGTGAATACTTGTGCGTTGTGTGTGTGTGTGTGTGTGTGTGTGTGTGTGAGAGAGAGAGAGAGAGAGAGGAGTTCACCAGTGTTTTACCCGCCGACGGTTGGCGGCCCTTGACTGGTCGGCACCTACCATTCGGGGGTCATCGGCACCCCGTACAAAAAAAAAAAAAAAAAAAAAAA